CAGGTCCGTTGCAACACGGTCTCCGTCACGTCTAGCATCCATAATCAGAAGGACACCGCAGATGACCCAGCCGAGTCTCCAGAGAACAGCCCTTCCAGAACGGGTAAGCTCCTCCTTACTCCTCGTGTCAAGAATGCTCTCAAATTCTTTCCATTCTTTCCATAGAACAACCTTGCATCTTTCTAGGATCTCTCCGGCCTCTCCAGCTCTTCCGCCGCGCCCCAGGTTCTCCTCCACGAATTCATTAATAACCTCCCATGATCTTCCTTCCCCTCCTGCTCTACTTGTTCGCTTCAAAACGCTAATTAGATCCGTGATGAGGACGTTTGTTGTGCCCTCCCAGATGGACAAAACCTGTGTGTCCCGTAGTAGACGGGCAATGTTCATGGGCTCTTCAGTCTCATTGGGTCCAATTCCGCCCAGGCTTTCAACGGATTCCGACAAAGTAATCATGGCCAACCTTGCAGTGAGAGCTTTTGTCATTGGTGTCAATATGCGGAAAAGCTGAATCGCCGAGGCCGACGAAGGTACATATAAGTATCCTGAGGAGTTGATGGAGGTGGGTGAGGCGGAGTCTTCAATAACTGAAAGAAGGTGGACAGTGAGGAAGGTCAAGTGCGTTGAAGCCCTGTGCAGTAGCTCCAGGCCAGCTAACGTCCGCAAATGCAGAGGCATCGTCCAGAGCGGCCTGTTTTTCGCGACAACACGAGCCTTGGCGTATGCCTATTTCCATCAGTATTGTACTCTTGTCACAGTAGTTTAAGGTTACAATAACATACCTTCGCAATTGCCAAACCTCTCCTCATGAAGCTCACCGCTGTAACGGAGTTGTGGATTCTGCTAACGTTTAATACAGTACTTATTTCCCTGATACCGTCGCCCTCTGCTCCGATCAGCCATGCCCGCATTCCATTCAATTCCAACTCGGCAGTAGGCAATGCCATTGTTCCGGTGCTCTTCTTCAACCTCACAACCTTGATTCCATTCCTATCACCATTGGGCAATCTTGTTGGCGCATAAAAAGCACTTAGCCCGCTTGCTGTCCTCGCAAGTAGAATAGTCATGTCGGCATCTGTTGCCGAGGTGATGTACTTGTAGCCATCGATAATCCAGGGTCCCAGCTCATCAACGTCATCAAAATTTGTAGGCTCTGTAAGAGGGGAATAGACTGCTATCGTCTCTCTACGGCCAACCTCTGATCCTGGTGGACGCTCAGTCATCCATTGGCCGCTTGTCCACCTCGTTGATTGATCACGCGAGATCAGGCGAAAGTGGGCATTCGCAAAGACTTTGCCCTGGGTTGAAGACGGCGCTTTCGGGATTTGCTGTGCCAGCAGACGGGCGGCACCGTCGGTCATGGCAAATGGGCATGTAGTAATTGCGGATGATGGAGACAGAATGTAGTACCTACGATTGTTAAACTCCAAGATATTTTAAGGGGGAACGGAAGACACGTACTTTGCAAACTGTCCAATCCTTCCATATCTCCCTTCATAACCTTCGGCTACAATTCCCTCGTGAGCGCCAAGCTCTGACAGTTTTCGCCAGCCTACGGATGTCCGAAGATTTTCGTTTCGGTTGGCGAACGCGTCATGTGATTCGAGTGTTGGCGGATTTGTCTCGGCATCCCGAAGCCAGGCCAGAACCTTTGGCGAAAGGGCTGTTGAGGCAAGTGAATCAAGTTCTTTGTGGAGAGGTTTTAGGAGCACGGGCGAGAGATATACTTGTTGACATATTTGTTAGCTGGTTGAACAAATACCATGCATACGAAGAAAAAGGGGGGAAGCGTACAGGAAAGAATCCGTTGGATAGCGACATCATCTTTGAATTGGTTCTTGAGCCTTGGTGTTTCTTGAAAGTATCCAGTGTCAACGGATGAAGCCTTTGAACTTGGTGCCTTTGGGCGGGTGGGCTGGTGGTGCTGGCTTTGATTTCTTGACCCTGATGTGGTAGAAGACATGATTTTCGAGGACTGGTAATGTAGATTCTTAGAGGGTGGGGTGTTTGTTGAAAGAAAAAAACAACGGACAGGACAAACAACTGGGAAGAAATATGAAGGGGAAGAGGAAGAAGAAGAAGGGCAAAAAAGCAAGGTCGCGTGAAGAGTTTCTTGGTGTCTCTCAACAACCTCCACTCTTCTTAATCAATCACTCAATCACTCACTCTAAATATCACTAGATCATATTATCACCAATACCTGGTCTCACGTTATCTAAGTTACGTGCACTCCACCCTGCCTCCACGTCGAAAAACAGAGACTGTATGCGTGCAGCGTGTCTCTTTACAGGACCCGGACGGTAGGGGCCCCGGCAGACTGGGTGAACACCGTTCGTTGGACTACATGCTACTGACTGTTGCTGTTGGTGACAATCAGTGCGTGGTTAGCGGGTGTGTTGCCGCTTCGTGGCTCCACTCAAATTGTTTCATTTGCGGGGGAGGCTGAGATTCCCGCCCTCCAGTAAGCGAGACATCGGCATTCGGGAACGCGCAGATGTAAAGCTGTACATTTCGGACCCTGAATAGAGAAGAGGAGCAGGAGCAGCAGGTATCAGAATACCTAAATGTGCCTAGCTGTGGGTAGAGAAGGTAGGTGGAACACCTATGGCAGGTGGAGTAGAGGTAGAGCAAAGTTAGAAAGTACTCTGCCTACAGTTCAGAGTGGGTAAAGCTGCTGCCCGCCGTGCTGCATTGGAACTTGATAGGTACCTCCTACATGATACCATACATACGGCTTTGCAAAGCTGAGAAAACTGTTGGCTAACTGGGTAGGTATATCCTGTGCAGTCCAAACGCAGGAACCCTGGTCCAATTGAACTGAGATGGATGGTTTCTGGCGGAACAACGGCGCCACGGCAATCCAGGCCCGCGAGAATTGGCTGCCTACGGTGAATTATGCCCAAAATGTTTTGACCTCGAGAAATGAGGAGACTTCCAATTAAACAAAAGAATATATATAAGCCATGAAAGGCGCGTCCCTCGGCGCCGTGGTATCACAGTCAGAGAACACCTGTGTAACTACTTCTGAGCTGAACTGGGTCTGCAGCAAGCACCAGAAAATTGATTCCAAAACAAAAAATGCTCGTGCATAGTCATCTTGTGGAGATAAGTTGGTTTGGACTCGAATAGTAAACTAGCAGCAAAGATGACCTGTCAACCACCACCACCAGTGCACAACCACTAACAACAAAAATAACATAGCCATCGGAGGAATACTCTACTCCCTCCCGGTTTTCGGCATGCCCCGACTCATCCGTTTTCTCAACTGGTCAGAGAGCATTTATGTAGGCATCTTCCTTCGATGTGATCTGAAAATCACTTGCCAGTTGTTCCTCAAAGTGCAATATAAACAGGATATTTCGATCATGATCTCTTTCTCCCGGGTCTTAGAATTTACAGCGTCCATGTGGGGGCGCGGCACATTCGAACACTCGAGGTAGTTCTACCCGGCTGAAGAAGATCCAACGCTTTGATACTCGCTCGCGATGGCGGAGCTTTTTCGGCGCACAACCCAGTGTGTTCTGGTCGTTTGAGAGGGGAAGGATCCGGGTTTATCGCGAAAGAAGGATTGTTGTGGTTCTAGAATGGTGCGCCGCAAGCAAGGAAGCTCGGCGTCATGTGATACCGCGCTCCCTTGAAGCTACATACGCGCTCGCTCCTCGCTCCTTGCTCCTACAGCGTGACGCGACGTGACATAAATTACGAGAAATGCAGTGATTTGTGTCTGTGTTTCTTAACCCTTCTAGATGGAGTTTTAAATAAAGCATCCCTATTCAAGAGATATATACGGGACGGGTTGGAATTAGTGAAAATGAAAGTATTGCTATCTCAGCTGAAGTATCAGAGCTTTTCGAACCTCCATATAATTCTAAGGTTAACCAGCATGCAGTATTCCGGGGTACGTTTCCAAGCTAGAGGGCTGTAGCGTACTCTAGTACTCTAGCACATTGTGCAAACGGAAATCAGTATTCCAAGGTTGGAATATTTGGATATGCTGCCAAAACTCGAAAAATTTGGCTAGCTAGCGCCTGATCAAAGTTACTTCTATGGGAAAATCTTGGAGATCGATATCATTTAGCTAATCGTTAGAAAGATAGTCCCTGGCCAGAGATAGCCAATTTTTCGAGCTTCTGCGGTATCTGAAATGCACTCTTTATACCTGAGACACGAGGATCAGGAAAAAGAAAGGTTTACCTTTTGAAAGCCTAATGCGAGTGATAATTCATGACAGATGCGTGAATTGGATCACTCTTTCATCAACATACCGTCAGAACATATCCAATCACCAAATTCTTCCTCGGTTTTTTATTCTGCTCTGCCTGCTCTACACCCACTTACCATCAACGTTAAGGAGACTCAGTCACGGCAATTTAGCGAATACCGAGCGAGAGACGGTTCACATTCTGCACCACGCGCAATTGAGGGTATGTAACTAGTTCCCGGGGAAACGGTCAGGCGACCGCCACTAAGACGGCAGAAAAGTACCTCCGGTTCCATGCATAAGGATGGATGGGGTTGGGATGACGAGAGGCAGCAACAGCAAGACAAGTCGTGCGTGAGATGATCCGAAATAGTCGATAATGATTGCTCGAGCTCTGCCGCACCGGACACGGCGGCTGTAGATCAAAGAACTGAGGACGATACACTAGCGTATAACGGGGATCGTGGGGTCTGTATGGCTCGAGACGTGGAGCTCTCTCTGGTCTGTCCGTGGCGGAGTTATCCACCCATATTTTGGGACCAGTGGAATTTATTGGTGGTTTTGGTATACACCGCATACAACAACACTACCGGGCCAAGGTGTGTGAAGAAGCGAAGCTCACACGTAGTAAATAGTGTCTGGGAAATGTAAGACACTTGGATCGTAATCGGGTATTAGCGCAATTATAGTAAAATCCGAGAACTTGAAACGGGCCAATTGTAGGTAGAATTTCTTCCTCAATGCTTTATCGAATAAAAGGCTTCTTCAATTTCGCCTCGTCTTCGCCTTGAATCTGTAGTTTCTATCCAGAACTGACTGGTGGGATTATTCCCACTTCATCGCCCTCTTTCAATTCCCTCTCTGCATCCTCTTCGATATCCACATACTCCAGATTCACTGTAACCATACAAGAACCCAAGACCTTCGCTTTTATCCCCGAATAGTTTTCGTCGAGAGTATCGAATAATTTTCCCAGAGCTAACGGGGCCGGAAGAAATTCGCTGTCCTTTTTTGTAATGGTAGTAGCGGAGGAGAAGTATAGGATCTTGAAGGTTCCTGGTGGAGCTTTCGACGCCATAATGAACTTCTGCAAACTTGAGACTCTTTTCGTTTGAGATTGATTAGTGAGTGGGGTTAGAGGTAGATTTAGACAAACACGTGGGAAATAGCAACCTTTCTTATTTTCCCGTGGGATAATTCCTGTTTTGTCCGCGGCGGTTGGTTGATGACTCGAACACAGGGACGCCAGAAGCTTCACCGGAAGACTGAAGGTAGAGAGGGACATCAAGGGTATGCCAAGACGTAGATTGCTAAAGAACAAACATTCCCGATACGCCACCACTGAAAACGCGAAAGTGGAGGGGTTTTGCCTTATCTCATAAGAGAAGCTTGATTATCCCGGAAATATCCGATGCATAGGATGATGATGGCGGATCTGCACGTTTGCGCGAATATTTAGAGAGGGATAAGCCCGAGGAAAGGGAAAGATACATAGTATTTGTGTCTTCGCCATCGACAGAGTTTTGCCTGTCGGGAAAACACTGGTATGTGCGTCTACGGTGAAAATTTGCCGCACAACTGACACATACATTTAGAAAGTTTCTTCTCTTTGCCGCCCGAGCTATGATAGAAACAGGTTTTCTCAAGGGATATTTTCGGGGAGATGTCCTCAGCTTAACGATTGACATCAAAGGCTTGGAGACAGAAGGTTACAAGTACGTAGTGGGGTAATATAATGACGAAGGAGGGGTTCTTGAAAAAAGAGCCTCATGCATGCGGCGGGGGAATCTCGGCAGATTGTCCGGGGATTAATACCCAGGGATATATGTAGTTCCTACTACAGAGCAAAGGTTTTCGTTGTAACATGGTCATATCAGAGCTGGATCAAACTTAAGGTTCCAATCTCATTTGACAGGGAAGGAAATAGCGGTAATAGGTATACCCACTTAGGTATTGCAGACTGTCTTCAGATAACCCTAGCCCTGATGATGAGAGGATTAAATATAAAGAGCACAGACTTCCTGTAGAAGTATTAGATAATTGGATGTATCGACCATTAAAACGTTAACTGAGAATGAAATTCGGGCGGCCGGGTACATATATAGGGCGTTTATGTTGTCAAGCTGAAGCCGAGTGATATTTTGTGCATATATGCACACAGTATAGTTACTAATATAACTGGATCAACCCTTAGAAGTGGAAAGCAAACTTATAAGTATTATTTCTCCAAGAATATGGGGCCAACGGTTTGTATACCTATAATGACTAAATTTGGGGCGTGGGCCCGCAGAGGTGCCACTATAGCTACGGCCTATCCATAGGCCTGGAACGAAGGAAGGACGTTGGAACAAGCTCAATCATTGAGACATTTTCTAATATGAGACTATAATTAGAGTTTACCAGAGCCCCTATCTTATCATTACTAGTCCTTACCAGGATAAAAGTTCAACCCCAAACATCATTTGGAATGGTTTGCGCTACTGGAATCCCGGCGTTGAACTTGCCGCCGAAGAATTATATATACAATCCAGATAGTTGAATGTGGTCCTGAATTTAGTGTTCCGCCCTATTTCTCGTTTCATCTAGGTTGAACCGTAACGGCGAGTTCTGCTGTCAAAAGTAACTCCCTAGACCTCCAATTCCAATGCAACAAGCAATGCCTAAATAGTACGAACAATCAAGCTGAGCTTACCACGAGTCTTTCTAAAGATTTAATCCATCTGACAATTGAAAAGATCTCCCAAAGCTAGAAATTCGCTTCAAGGCCAAAGACCTGGCAATAAAGGCTGTTTAGCTTCAAAATTGTACAAGATAACTTAGCTATATGGGGCCTAACCTATTGTAAAGGGTGACTGATCGACACTTGATATCGGCCGTAAAAGAATCGTCAAACTGATCCTAATTAACAAATATAGCTCGGGTTCAATTATGTAGATGATAGGTTGCAAAAGGTGAAGAGAGATGAAGCATAAAACGGAGGGACAACCTACAATATTGATATCTGCATATGCCCTGCTCAAATGATAATGTGAGTATCTACCCGGGACTCTAATCTCGGTATCTACCCGCTACATTCTTTCCAGGAAAAGAAAATAATACGATTTAGGCAATCAGCGAGGATGTAGTACTGTGCACCGGGAACTGACTGCACGCATGCAAACCTGGATCTGAGGAAGCAAGCGAATCGCTTTAAATTTATGTGAGGTATCCAAGACGAGGATTTGGCGCCGAGATTTAACCCGTGGTCTAAGCTTTGTGCAAACACGATATATCATTTACATTCTGAAGAAATGACAGATCTGGCATCTTTTTGAAAGTTAATGTATTCATCCAATGGGAAACACCGAATTTTTAACAGAAAGGCCCGGAGATTGTAGGGATATTTTAATCAACAGGGGTAAATACCCTTGTTTAATTGTCATCTCTTGGAGTTTTCTGAAGAGGGATTTTGCGGGCGAGCACATAAAGGGCGATTGTCGTGAAAAGAAGAAAAAATAGTGCACGCCTTTCAATTGGGCTCTCGATCCCGGGACGTCACTCGGCCTTGGTTACCACCGGGTGTAACAAGTCACCGAGAACTAGCCGTTTTATCCTCGTAGGTTTGTTTGGTTTCCTCAACACATAAACAGCATAACCATAAAAATGGTTTTCTTGACAATTGATCATGATTCATGCCCGGTTTAGCCTCAGAGTACTTGTATGTTGTATCTACATGCGTACATAGACTAACTGCCATTTTTGGCATGTAGAGTACTTTTAATAAAGCACTCTAGGCGCGGCCCGCAGAAGCTTCATCCTCCCCTAGGTCTTACGCGTCGTGAGCCGGCCCTGCAGCTGCGGGCTCTGCAGTCCGCAACATACGCATCAGTCCGAAATCTTCAGCCCATCCTCGAGAAGGTCCAGACAGGCCATGCCAGCACATCTGCCTGCCAGCACATGTCACGCACTGTCGCGAATGGTTGATGGACTACAACCACGGTCCCTCTCTCCACGAAATTAGAGAATCGAGAAGAAAGCTTCAGATAACGCACGGCCTGGACTCGGGCTGGGAGCTAATTTTGGTATCGGCACATTGTGGCTTTAGCTCCGTTCCGTGTCTGCTTTCCTACTCCTACGGAACAGCACATTTGCAGGCAGGTGCGGAAAAACTGAGCGTTTTTGCATCCCGAGAGGCAAAAGATCTCGGAGTAAATACAAAAAAGAAATGAAAAAAAGGCTTCCTGTGGCCGGTTTGAAAAGAAACCTATGAAGAGGCTCTTTGGTAGGATGGAAGGCATTGTATGGATCGAAAGACAGTGAAGAGGGGTCGTTACCAACTAGCATACAGTTGGCCATTGGCGGGGTGCCTGTCGGCTGAGACACCGGTTTTTTGCCTTTTCCCCACCTGCTGGTGGGTTTATCCATATCCCTGCAGGCATGCTGCAGCCATTGCGCGCCAAGATCCAGACATTGCTAATCCTACTTCATTCGGTTGCCGCTGAGCAGCAACAAGAAATCTTGAGAACTCAGTTTGTTTGATCAAGCAACAAACATTATGAAAACGAACGTGTAAACTCGAGGGTTTGTACTCTAGAGAAATGCTCAATTAGGATGATAGGAAGAAATTTTGAATATGTGACCATAATATACAGCTTTGCAGTGCATACGCATTGTTGCAGAAAGCTATGTGTATTAAGCCAATTACATGCGTGGAAGCAAGCATAATCTGTATCTCATTTCCAGCGTCCGTGTGTGCCTATGAGCTTTGTCCAAGAAAGTTAGCTGCTCGTTTCGTCATCTTGGTCCATTCCGAAATTCATCCCCTCACTGTTCTCGGGGTTCATAACGTCCACCAGGCTTTCTCAATTCTTCCCTACTTCTACTACTTATTCCCCTCCTCCTCATCATCATCATCCTTCTTCTCTTCCTTCCCCTGCAACATTCAGCAAACCATCGTCTGCATCATCGATTTCCCAGGACCCCATCTCGTCCTTTTTCACCCTTATCAGTGGTGAGTTGTTTTACCCTCCATGCGTTTAGGCGGAGATAGCTTTCCCCCGCTTTTATCAGTACCTATCGATTTTTTCGATTTCTATCGATCTATCAATCGTCAATAGCTAGTTTGCATCATGCCCATCATGTTTTTAGAGGCGTTTTATCAGAATATAAATGCCTCTAGTTCCCTATGCTTGATTATCTATCTATATCCTCTCTAGTCTAGTGTTCATCTTGGAAGCTTTCTAATGTTTAGTTTTTTCTCTCGCAAACAGAAAAAGCCCGTCATCGTAGGCAAAAAGTCGGTCGTCGAAGCCAAGAAACCCGTCGTCGAAGTTAAAAAGCAGCCAACTGTTGCAGTTTCTGTACCTGTAGAAGCTCCAAAACCAGCCGTTGAAGTACCCAAGCCAGTCGCCGAACCAGTTACTGAAGTTCCAAAGCCGATAGTTGAAACTCCAAAGTCAATTGTCGAAGTACCCCAGCCAGTCGTCGAAGCAGTTCAGCCAGCCGTCGAAGCAGCCCAGCCAGTTGTTGAATCACCCAAACAAGCCGTCGAAGCCCCTGAGCCAATATCCGAAGCTCCTAAACCAATTGAAACTCCTGAACCAGTTGCAGAAAAAACTCAAACACCACAACCAGATATGACTTCATTCAAGAACCTTCCTCAGCGTCTTTTCCCCCAGTCCAATGAAGGGGGCCTTGGTGTTCCCCAGCCCAGGAGGCATGGAAAGACCCAATCTGCTTTCGTAAGTTAATTTCCAGCCCAATTACTGATGGGGAAGGGGTTTCTTGTTTTGATGCCACCAGATGATAGAAGCTAATCTTGATATCTTTTTAGGCTTTTGACAACACTTCCACTTCAGTGGCTGCCAGTCAGATGAGAAATGCCCTGAACAAGATGGCCGATGGTGTCAAGGACCCTGTAGCCAAGAAGGTATGAAGTTATCGCGTTACCAAGGCCAACAATTATGACGTCAGGACCTAACACTATATTACCCCAATAGAAATTTGAGACTGAGATGGACAACTTCTTCGCTCTTTTCAGACGCTATCTTACAGATAAGGCTAAGGGTACTACTCTGTAAGCTACTCTGACTGCCCCAT